TAGAACCGGCACCACAGAAAACTGATTCAGCAACGGGGAGAATAAACATGAGACCCAATCTTTGAAGTCAGAATAAAAGATGAAAGTTATGAAAATAAGGAGAGATAAATAGGAGAGAGAATTGAATTTGAGCTTAAGAACTATAGGTATTCCCGAGGATTAAAGCCAGAGTGAATGGAGCAGAAGACAAGATAGCTCTACCTGAGGAGAAGAAACAAAACAAAACACTTTGAGGCTGAAAAAATATATTGTTAAAAAGTGTTTATCATGTTTCAGGTAAACTGAATGAAAAGAAATTCATAGCTAGTCACATTCTGGCAAAATTTTTAATTGTAAAGAAGAAATTAGGAACATTATTGAAGAATTTACTTCTCAAAAAAAGGTCTGGGACCAGACAATTTATCAGTGACTTCTTCCAAACTTACAAGTACAAAATAACTTCATGCTTTATAAACTGTTGCAGGAACAGAAAAAGCTAGAATGATACTCAATTCACTCTTCGAACTCAGTTTAGCCTAACAGCAAAAGCTATCAATGAAAGCACAGAAAATAAGCTATAGATCATTCTCATTCATGAATATTTTATTATAACACTGGCAACAAATAATATAATAAGAATAATCTACCATCTACCACTATGAGGATAGGGAAATTCCAAGAATACTATAATAATTAAAATAATGAATTATATTACAGTATAACGGGTTCAGTATATATAACCTCAGTATATACTGAAAAGTCACTCAGTAACATCCCCAAATCCTAATTTTAAAGACTTAAAATATTGAAATAGAGGAATGTTTTCTCAAAATGATATGTACTACTTATGTTAAAGAGTATCAAGCGTCACAGTCTATGGGGAAATCTTAGAGACTTTCCTATTAAAATCCAGAACAAGATAAATATGTTCATTGTGTTAATAATCATCATCATTCTTCTGAAAATTCTGATTCACTCATAAGATGGAAAACAGAAATAAAAGCTATACTTATTATTTGTAAATAACCTGAGATAGCTCCAAATCCAACAGAACCAATGGTAAAACCCTTAAGATTAATAAAAGAATTCAATAAAGTGACCAGATACAAATGGAGGGGTATTATACAATATTTTCCTAAATTCCAACAACAAACAGAGGAAATAATGCTGAAAACATCTTCTTTACATTACTAATAGCCCCTAAAATAAAACTCATGAACAGGGGCACTGGGTGGTTCAGTCAGTTAAGCGTCTGACTTTGGCTCAGGTCATGATCTTGGGGTCCTGTGATCGAGCTCTGTGATCGATCCCCACCCCCCCCATCAGGCTCCCCGCTCAGTGGAGAGTCTGCTTCTCCCTCTCCCTCTGACCCTCCCCCAACTCATGTGAGAGCTCGCTCTCTCTCTAATAAATGAAATCTTAAAAAAAAAAAAAAAAGCTCATGAACAAACAAAACACAATAAATATTGTAGAATAATTCTAGCAAGAAATACATGGGTCTTTAACAAAAAAAAACACAAAAAGATTACTGAGATGTATAAAAGATGTTTTGAATTAAGAGAAATAAGTCCTGTATGAGAATAAATTTTATAAATATATAAATTGTCTACAATTCAACTTACAGATTTAATGTCTTTCCAACTAAGATCCCAATGGGATTTTTTTGGGCAGGGGTTGGGGGGGTACCTTCGCAAAATAAAACTAAAGTTCATGTCATAAAATAAATAGATGAGAAAAATATAACCGAAAAATAGACTAGAACTTCCCCTATCAAACATTAAAATACCTAATAAGAAGCTATTAGAATAAATGAGTATAGCAAGATTGCAGGTTATAAGATCAATATATGAAAATCAATTATATTTCTACACACTTACAATGAACAATCCAAAAATGAAATTAAGATAATTCCACTTATAAAAGTATCAACAAGAGGGCGCCTGGGTGGCTCAGTT